TGAGAGTGGAAACAGTTCTTAAGGAAGCAAATAAGATGCCGGAGAATAGGAGTTTGTATATTGGCAACATCAACTACTACCATAAGCCCCTGCGGAGTGGGAAATGGGCAGTAACATACGAGGTGTGTTTCAACATCTGGTTTTATTTTCCATACGTGTGGTTCTTATTCAGTGTCATAACTCCTTGTTATTGGATGAGGGAAACTTTTGGAATTCATTCAGCTATAGTTAATTCTAATTGCAAGTTAAAGCCCTTGTGGTTTTGTGTAGCCTTAGATTGATCCAGTGGTTGACTAACGACTATGAAATCCGTAATTTTCTTTATCTAATTTAATGAAGCAATTTTATTTCATTCATTGGTGTAGAATTGCATTAAAGGGCATGCCACCTACAAGTTGGAAACACCGTTTTTGTGGAGATGCTGTAAATAATAATTTGACTAATTGGATATCTAGTGGTGTTTATAATCATGTTAAAAAGTTAAATCTCTGCCTAGAAATTGCAGATGATAATCATGATCTGTTAAGCCTGGTTACTTCTATCAAATTTTGGTGAAGTCTTAGTTCGCCTTGTTCTTTGAGATCTGCGTTGGAAGTGTCAATTTGTCAAGTTTTCATCTATACAATTAGGACGCTTTTATTACCAGTTTTGTCTCTTGGGATTGTGTAGGAGTGGCCAGAAGAAGTTTATCCACCTTATGCTAATGGTCCAGGCTACATTTTGTCATCAGACATTGCGAACTTCATTGTATCTGGTTTCGAGAAACAAAAATTAAGGGTAAAATACTACTGTCATTCCTCTTTCTCTTCCCCCCCACCCCTCCCCCTCTCTCTCTCCACACACGCCACATTTTTCACTTGCCACAACAGACACAGAGACGCCCAAACCACATGCTCACAAAAGCAGATATCGAGCTGATGAATTGCATTACTTTTATTGAGTTATAGCAGATGTGTTTAGCTAGTTCCTTGATGTGCAGTTGTTCAAGATGGAGGATGTGAGTATGGGGATGTGGGTTGAGAAATTCAATAGCTCCAGGACAGTGGACTATGTGCACAGCTTAAAGTTTTGCCAATTTGGATGCATAGAAGATTACTATACAGCTCACTACCAGTCTCCAAGGCAGATGATCTGCATGTGGCACAAACTGCAACAGCTCGGGAAGCCTCAGTGCTGCAACATGAGATGATGAAACTGTTGAGTTTTCGTTTCGGATGACGTGTGCAGCGGAGAATCTCGGGATGAACTGAGATGATGAAACAAGTTTTGCAGTCATATGATGATGTTTTGTAAATTTTGGGAGGCATGCTTTAGAAATGTCTAGAAGCCCATCTATATTCATTAATTTTTTTCCTGTATCTCTTTCTTTGTTTCTCCCCCACCCCTCCCAAAATATAATAGTTCCATCCGAGGATGGATTGCAAAGGAGGCTGTTGTTGCATAGCTAATGCAGGTATCTCAGTTGACATCTACTATACGCCTTCTACTGTAATTTACCATACCATAGAATTAGTTAGAATCGCAACCAGATTCCTTGGCTGTAGCCATCAAAACGGCGGCTTCTCTTTTGGAATTTTCCTTTTGGGCTAAAAGACGAGTATTTTGTCAGCGGTGATCAGTTCATCACTGGCAGGCTTCCTGGGAGGGTGGGAATGTGGATGTATGAGATGATGTTAGTGGGTGTATCATGTGGAACGAAATTCATTCTGCTTGTTAATGAGCTTGTTTGTCGGTGTTACTCACAAGAAGAAGAAAACAAGTCGAAAATGTCGACGTGGGGTAGCCATGGTCGATGTTCTTGAGGTGGAAAGAACTTTTGTCCAGTCATAACGGAGAAAAAGATACGTTTAGAATACGGAAAAAGGGGCCCATCTACTTTTTTTTTTTTTTTCAAACGACAACTGTAGTGATTGATTCCATCTATTTATCATATTTATTCTTCTCTGTCCAGTGGCACTGGCGAGGGACAGTCTAGCCTATATTATTAGGGGAGGGGCGGACCTAAGAAGGAAGGCTCGGGGGGATTCGGAGATCAGACGGGTGCGATTTTTTGAAGCAAATCCACTTTTAATGTGGCAATTGGTGAGAAGGAGGAGGAATTTGAACATTTTGCAATTTGACATCGCATAGGCTTATGAACATCGCACCTCGCCGGTGTGGATGTATGGTCAGAAACCTTAAGAGTTACTACTACAAGAAGAGCACTGACATGGAAAGATGATTCGTTAGCAAAAGGCACTATCTTATTATTGTGGGAGAAAATGACATTTTATTGAAGGAAAGATGAATTTTTTGCTTTGATCACACTATCTTGTCCCAATTAATTCATAGACGACAATGACATTTTGTCCAATCGTGGAATTGTGATTCAAAAGTGAGTAGATGATACCCTAAAGATATGAAAACACGCAGAGACATGGTGGCTAAAAGTTGCAGTTGCATTGTCCTGATTTATAGGGTCGGTCATATGCTGAAGAGTCTTCAAAACTTTTTTGTACCGATCCATACATACACAACACAACTCTGATGTCATCAGTCTTGTCACCTTTATTCATTCATTGCATTTTTTCCCCTTGGTTACGGATTTTTAGTCATCTTCGCTCAACTCACCCTCTTTTTTCTTGCATTGCTGCTGTATATATTATCTAGACCCCAAGAAGACCGAAAAAAAAAAAGCCATTAGAGGAGAATTAAGGAAGAATGAACACCTCCAAAATGATACCACCAATGAGGGTTCCAGAGCAGTGGGCAGGTGCTGCTTCCACCATCCTCAGTTTCTTCTTCATTTTGGACATGATCCGCCGGTGGTGCCCACCGGAGCTCTATCGCCGTCTCACGAAGTTCTTACTAAAGCTGGACACATACTTCTACCCTAGCATCCAGGTTTCCATCCATGAGTTCACTGGCAGCAACCTCAGACTCCACGAAGCCTATCCTGCTGTTGAAGCATACCTCAGCGTCAATTCCTCCAAAACCGTCAAGAAGCTCAAAGCTGAGATGGTGAAAGATCGCCATAAGTTAGTGTTCACCATGGATGAAGATGAGAGAGTGATTGATGAGTTTCAAGGAGTCAAAATGACGTGGATTTCCGGCAAAACTAGAACCCCTCAAGGTCAAGGAGGGCCTGGAACGCAATTCTCTGGCAACCCGGAGCCGGAAAGAAGACATTACAGGCTGGTCTTCCACAAGCGTTATCGGGAGCTCGTGTTTGGACCATATTTGGAGCATGTCATCAAGACAGGTAAAGAAATCTGCCGGAGGAACAGGCAGAGGAAGCTTTTCACCAACGGCCATCACAGATCAAGTTGGAGCTACATCTTGTTTGATCATCCAGCTACGTTTGAGACGTTGGCTATGGAGCCCGAGAAGAAGGCAAAAATCATCGAGGATCTTCTGACATTTAAAGACAGCAAGGACTTTTATGCCAGAATTGGTAAGGCATGGAAAAGGGGATATCTTCTTTATGGTCCTCCAGGAACTGGAAAATCAACCATGATCGCTGCAATGGCCAACTTACTGGAGTATGATATATATGATCTTGAGCTTACTTCTGTTGCCGGCAACACGGAACTCAGGAGGCTTCTCACAGAGACGACAGGTAAGTCCATAATTGTCATAGAAGATATTGATTGCTCGCTTGATCTTACGGGACAAAGGAAGAAAGTTGCAGGCAAGAATCCTCCAGATGTGAAAAAAGATACGGGAAAGAGCAGTAAATCTGGAGACAAGGGAGAGAGTAGTGGAACTGGAACAGGAAGCAAAGTCACCCTCTCAGGGCTGCTGAATTTCATTGATGGGCTCTGGTCTGCTTGTTGTGGGGAGCGAATCATCGTCTTCACAACTAATCATGCTGATAAGCTGGATCCAGCTCTCACAAGAAGGGGTAGAATGGACATGCATATTGAGCTTTCCTACTGCAGTTTTGAGGCATTTAAGGTTCTTGCAATGAACTACCTGCAACTTGAGGACCATCCCTTGTTCCAATCGATTCGGAACTTGATGGAAGTGACCGAGATTACGCCAGCAGACGTCGCGGAGAGCCTCATGCCAAAGTCTCCAGACCAAGATGCTGAGAGGAGCCTACGGATTCTGATACAAGCTCTTCAAGAAGCCAAGGAAAAACAGGAAGCCGAGGAAAAACAGGAAGCGAAGAAAGAAGTGAAGGAGAATGAGTGCGATAAGGTGTCTCTGTGGGTCTTGCTTAGCAAGTACTTGACTCCCTATACAGTGTTCCACCTGGATCCAGCTATCGGTGTCCAGAGAGAATGAGGGCAAAGAATCAAAGAGAAAGGTACCAACCAGGACGATGACAAGACAACCCTGTAGGAACTAAATGATTTGAAAGTACCAGCAAAATTAAGCTGAATTTAGAGTTATGAAGTCACCACTCGAGGAATCAGCATCGTGTCCTGTTGCTTTGTAGGTTGAATTGAATGTATAATTCCTCTAGACTGTTTTTATGTGGAAGTAGCCACATCTTGCCTTAGCCCCTTCGGAGCAGCATCTGCAACTTCATAGGCTTTATGTTGTTGCTCTTTTAAGGAAGCAGTAATTCGCACATATTAAAGTACCCTTTTAATATAATCTTCGCGTAGCCACGCCAACAAAGTCTGCACCAAGCACAGTCCTGTTGCTTATACAAAGTTGAAACACCATTTGGTTTTTAACCATATATTTTCTGTACTTTGCCGATGCAAATGGTTGAAACATATTCTGCACACACTCTATAACTTGCACTAGATAACAGAGAAAAGGCAGATCGTTACTAGAGTATATTACAACGTAGCTGCTTCCGAAAGAATCAATCCATCAATCCACCATGTACGAGAGGACTGCACGATTATGTTCACTAGCAACAAAGTCCAATCTTAGATTTCGCATAGACCACCCAAAAAAAAAAAAAAAGAACCATCTCTAGAAGATCTATATGGGAAGTGAAGCCTAGAGAGCAGACCAGACCGAAGGGTCCCTTTTGAAGAGAACTTGGGAGCACAAAAAGATAATGGAAACAGGCTATCCTACCTAAATGCCAAACTCTTCCATTACAAATATTAGTTCGAAAAGTTATTGTACAGACTGGATAAGAAATAGTACAGAACTTGCGACAAGCTTCTCATCCACATCCTATTCGTTTTCTGGAATGTAGGCGTTCTAAAAAAATTTGACTACTGAATCTACATGACTTTTCTCAGCATCATGTTGTTCCCAGCAGGAATACATAAATAACTGCATTCGGGTGGCAATTGCTTAAAAATTCCTGAGGAAGCACCTCTAATTGTTGCTTCCGTCATGGAGTCGACTTGCCATGTAATCTATGAGTTATCTATATCATACAATCAACTTTTCCAGGTGAACACCAAGACCCTCCTCTCTGGTGGAGACAGTAACTTCAGAAGTCATCGGTATCTTCATCTTTCATCATCGAGTTGGGACCATCATCAAAGCCAGAACCTGGGGCAAGCTCATTTAGATCAAGAAAACGCCTTTTTCGAACACCCTCACCTTCATCTTGCCGTGGGCTATTTGCTTTCTCCAGCATATCGTTATCCTCTTTCTTGACTGTCTCAGGCTCCTCATCCTTCACAGGTTGATCCGCCTTAATTTCCTGGTTATCTGTGTTATTTTCCTCAGAATCTTGACTCACCATTGAGAACTCTTCTGCATTTTCACTGTCATTTGAGTGCTCCGACACATTTGACTTCCCGGGTTTCATTGACTCATTTTCTGATTCTGATAGTTCATACTGTCGATAATTTATACGGTTCCTGGTCGCCCTTTTACTACGCCGTAAACCTAACTGGAGCTCATCAACTGATCTCAGTTTAGTTTCCCTTCTAGTGCGGCCTGGCAATTTCTTAAATTTTCGGGGCCCATCACTCTCCTCACTTGCACTTAGCGAATCATCATCATCGTCCTCCTCCTCCTCCTCCTCCTCTTCTTCCTCTTCAGGATTATCATCATCCCAATGGTACTCGTCATCTCCTTCTGAGCTGCTAGATATCTTCCTCCTTTGTTTCCGTCTTCTTAAATATTCATCATCATAGATCACCTCACCAACTATATCATCATCACTATCAAAGTCCGCTTCATTATCTGAAACTGCTTCAACGAACTCTCGTGCAGAATACCGCTGAGGTCTCTGCCTTCGGCGATTGCTATACACCGCAAGATTATCAGCAAAGAACTATAAAAGTATGTATGCGTGGTGTGCTGTTGTACGAGAATAGACAAACAAAGAAATCAAAGCAGAGAAGAGAATACCTCCGATCCGTTTGATCTGCTCTATTATCATCATAGAATCCATCATAATCAGGTGATTTTGGAGAAAGTGCATTGAAAGGTTGCGAAGGACCACCCCATCTACCATTTGTAAGAGCTTCCACTCTGACACCAGCTTCTCTCCTTGTGGCGGTTGGCTCCGGGGAAGAAGCTTGCTGCTTCCTGATGTGAGGGCAAAACAAAACTTAGCTTTAGATTGTGTTAGATGAAGAAAGTAAAGCATATAAAGATTTTCAAACAGGCAAATCTCATACTTGGTTATCTTGATAGCCTCATTGATTGATCTATCATAATCATCTGCAAAATTCACCCGTACAACAATCAGAAAATCAGAATTTTACCTTGCAGGAGAACTTTTAAAGCTATATTAGGGTCACAACTGAAAATATTTGAACCACCCAGGAACAGGATTATGCAGGAGCACCAGTTCCAGAAAGAACAAATTCAAAAACACAAATTGACCTAACACCAACCATATAACCACAACTATATAAAGTATTGGCACAAGGGAAAAAAATTAAATTAAATTAAAGAAAAAAAGCAAAAACTTTCAGAGACAAACAAGTAGAGACCTTGCCAGACTCCTTTCACGTCAATAGATAATACAGTAAACTAGGCATATCTAATTTTACTTGCTGCTACCATTTGCTTAAAACGTTTCTCCCTTTAAAGCTCTGCAACCACACACACACACACCCCCCCTCCCCAAAAAAAAAAAGGTCTACCAATAAAAACAAGCTCCTTAATTGGAATGCCTCTCCTCATCATCCGAAATTCTAATGATAGAAAGCAATTGGAGGATTTTATTCCTACTCGGGTAAACAGGTCTAAGATCTGATTGCTTGGTTCTGTATCAGTCTGCCCTTCCTTTTACCTTCCACGACATACTGCATCTCCCTGATTCCATTCTAGCTGCATACATACAGAATCTACCTTCCTAAACTATTTGTCATCCATGTTTTACTTTCCTTCAAAGGATTGCTCAGGCAGAGCTTTATTATGCATCTTGCATTTTACAGGAGCAGGGGAGAAAGTATGAAGTATCTTTTCTTGAGAAGTAAGGAGTATGAAAAAAAGGCAAATCCCAAGCATAAAAGAAAATGAAAAAGAAACAAAAGAGAGGGGAAGGAAGGGGGGGGAGGGGGGGGACACTGCAGGGGGAAAGATGAGACGACTGTCTCTCTACTGCCTATTCAATCTCTACCAACAGTAGCTTTCTACGCATACATACATAAACTAAATCCAAGGTAAAGACCATCTTACATGTCCTTCAAGGACTGTTACATGTCTTCTGAAGTTGACCACTTGGGGATCATTGAATAACCAAGATACTTAGCCTAGGAATCTAACGCATCAACAGTTTAGAAATCACTTCAGGCGTCAAGTACATCTTGAGAATATAACCTACAGAAAGCAGGCAAAGCATCTAATATCGGCTATTTATCAATGAAATTAGAGCCGTATTAAGTTAGGATCATATTTGTGCAGGAAATTTTCAAAATTGAACACCAAAATACTAGACAATTACAAGTTCAGATTCATGATTTGACAACAAATGCTTGTACAAAGTTGTGAAAGAAAATTTGGATATTCCCCCCATGCAAAATGGGGAGTAAAGCCAAAAAGTCACCATAATTACATTCTTGACTCTTCGGCTATACATACTTCTTGAAATCATTATCCTCACCTGGAAAGTACCTTGCACTTGGGACTTATGCTACATTATCATAAATCCAAGAGTAGAAAATTGAGCAAACTTCTTCAGGACGAAAGGATTTCCAAGTCTATCCAGGACAGTCAGTTTTTGTAACCATTTTGATTCTGCCCCAAAGATAACTAGATTACCCACCCAAAAACAGACTTTTCAAATTTATTATGACACAACATAATCTTTCCACACAACTACCAACCCAATGCACACAATGCATGCATCTTGTAGAACCATCAGAATGACAATACTTGACACATTTCAAGTCAAAAGGAACAGATTCCTTTTCTAATACCAAGGGAAAGACCGTGACACACTCTGTAATATCTTGTCAGTAGTATTAGCCACAACACATAGAGCCAAAATAAATAAATAGATAATAAGCAAGGCACCCCATGGAAACTTTACCAAAAGTGTATGTGACAGGTTTCCTATCACGAAGAGAACGCCCAGCAGCAAGGCCATCCATATTCATCATATTATCAAGCATAAGAGCTTGTCTGTGTTGCTTCTTCAGCAGCTTCTCTTTTCTCTGCACAGAAAATAATTTCAGCGTCAATCCTCCAAAGTATTAATAGCCACTATATCTATCTGACAGCATTTGCCTTCATTATTATGACTATCTATATCATTCTTGATCATTGTTTGCCATTTTATCTCTTACCAGCAAAGAAAGATACAGCTTTTTGGAGGGGAAATACACAAATAATCCACAAAAGCAAAACATCTGAACAGATACAGAAAATGTCTGAAAAAAATATAGTGCAGGTCCTGCTCAGTCAATAAATGGCAATACCTTGTGGACTTTCTCAATCTCAGGAAGCATATCGTTTTTCAACTTCTTTCCAAGAGAAGCCTCCGTTCTATTTTTACTTGAAAATAGTTTTTCCTGCATTGAAACATTCAAGTTCTTCATATCCAAAAGAAAGGCAGCTATTAACACGAGCACAACTACAAATGTAAGCAACACAAGTTCATATGATAGTGTCTGTTACTTTTCCACCCTGATCATTCAAACACTAAAAGCGAAGACTGTATACGTATACACGCTTAGACCATTCTAATTGTGCTTAATTGCCATAGGAAGTCTATGGAATAGAGAAGACTGCAAAGCAAGCAAAAAGTAAACTCCTTAACCTGTCTCCTTAAGTCTTAATATAGATGCTATAGTTAATATCCAAAGACTGGGTTTTGGGAGAATTTTTTCCACTATCTCATGGACGTTTGTTTGAAAATTTCCATGTGGTAAAGAAAAGAAAATATTTAATAGACTTTTTTCCAAGAAAAATTCCCATTTGTTCTTTTTGCCTTAGTTATGATCAGTATAACCATGTTAATGGCCAGTTGATTTAATATGTACTAAAGCAGGATGTTTTTGTGGCTAGCAGCAACGAGCATGTGGCTAGCAGCAACTCCCCCCCCCCCCAAAAAAAAAAAAGAAGGCAAATAAAAAATGCTACATTGAGCGGCTCTTTTATGAATTTGGGACTCGTGTTCGCCCATTTGCTTTGTCATGTGTCTGAACCATATTTGATAAGAACTACACTACTCTACCTGATAACAAATTGCACTACTGTTTAAGATAACAAATGATTCAATGTGAACTAAATGAAAAAATTTCCAAAGTACAAAGGGTAAATTGAAGTCCATCGAGAAGTCTTCTACAGAGTAATTTTTTCAATACTTTTGTTGGACGCGTATATGAATGAAACACACAATTAAAAATGAAATTTTTTTAGCAAAAGCACAATTAATGCATGCAGTTATAAGGTAGATCATAGTGCATTTATTTTTTCAAGTGCACTCTTCCAAAGTTTAAATGGTAGTGTTCGGTACCCTTTTTTCCTATGTCATGATTACTATTGTATCTGTCACAAAGTTTTTGCCATGATTTATATAGTCAAAGAAGTAAAAATTAATCTGCCATTCCAACCCTCCTACAGAATTTCCAAAGAAAGAACCTTAAGCGGACATCAAACCATTAAAGCTATAACTAAGTCAATCAAGGGAAGAAAGAAGCTTTATATTGTAAAATGAAGATCTAGGTCAAATTTAAATTTGCTTAAGCCCTTTTTACAGTTTTGACCATGAGAAAGAAGAAAGACAGAGGGAGTACAAACCATCATGCAAATATGTAACTGGGTTTATTATACTTTCCCGTCTCATATGCATCCAAGACATTCTTATGGTTTTAAAGAGATTCATGCAAGTCTCCCACTTATATGCGTTCAACAAAATCGGGTAAAAAGAATTAATATTTTTCTAAAACTAGAATTGGGCGATACCTTATGGTTGTTAAAAAGTTCACTTTACGACTACCAATTCTCCTAATTTATAATTATGCAAACCAGTCAAGAGTCAGATGTGCGTCTAAATGTCATAATTCATTGTTCAAAATTAGGATAAGGCAACCTGCCGGAGATTTGAACTTCAGCACAGGGAAATGCAATTTAATATAAATGTGCATTGCTATATTAGTTCTTTAATACTCCCTCCGTCCCATTAAAAGTGTCATACTTTCCTTTTTGCTATGTACCAAAATTTGTGTCACTTTCTATATTCGACAAAAAAATTTTCCTACACTTTCACCATCTAACCTTTGTTGCAAGCCCACCAACTTGATTTATGACAATTGCTAGTGGACTCTAATATAAGTGCATGTATCCCACAACTAGTAATATACAACTGAGAGTGTACTTACACTTTAGTTTTCAAGTGGTTGTCCACTGACATGCAAAGTTCCTTTGGCCCCACAACATGAGCTTTTGCAGATTTGAAAATTTAAAACACTAATAGCCTTGCCCCACACACTTGTTCAGAGCTATAAACATAGGGTAATGAAGGAAAAAGACAGATAAATTTCTTCGCTGTTGGGAAAAAAAAAAAAAACAAGTGTCCCCAATAGTGATGAAAATTTTGGGACGGACGGAGTATATATTAACAGCATTCTTGGTCATAAATTATCAAAAATGTAGTTACTAAATTCTTGCGAAGATAATGCAAAATTTTCTAAACAAAGGCTTTGTACACAGAACTCCATTTATATTTTCTCAACGAATTAGAAACAAGTTCAGTTTGATGCTAAGATAGACTTGCAAAATGACTCTGAGGTAACAATCAGAAATAGAAATTTGTCCACATATATGATAGCATTAACAATTTTTGTTATGCTTTAAATATCACGGAGAGGTGGTCTAACTGGACTAAACACACTGTCCTTATCCCTAGTGTTTGAAATGCTTATCTAGCCTTAGTCACTGTCTATTTACTCCTCTAAATTGTGTAATCTTCACTTTTAACCTCACTCACTACACCAGGAGCCTGTCTCATCCCTTTCTTTAATTCTTTTTGTGTTCAAAACACCATTGACGCATAGACTATTCGCTGCATGGGAATCTTCTCCAGTGATGCAAAAACCGTCATTCCTTTATGAAGTTTCACTCTATTCTCAAAAATCAGTAAGCAAGGACCACAAAGAACCCAACCCTCCTCCTCATCTTCCTCTCCTCCCCTTCACCATCAACATCTGTGGGGTAGAATTTGTTGGGCATGTTAGCATCCATCAGATCCCTTTCTCAAACAATCCATTGCAGCCCTTCCTCAAAGTCATCACACAATTAAATTAGCCAGATTAGCATCCATCAGATTCAAAGTCAACATGCCCAATTAAATTGGATGAAATTTGGTACGTATTCTGATACACAACTTTGTTGTTTTTTCACATCATGTAATTCTGTGATTTATGGTCAATGGATCCATGAAAAGTATGAGTTACATATTTCCTAACTTATTTCTGCATTTTACATTGCTACATATGTGCATAGACATCTCTAGCTATTTCCAATCTCATACCCTTCTGCTCCCCCTTCTACAGCTTTGTAGGAAACAGATTTTTACATTGTGACCATTTTCAAAAGCATATAAGATTACCATACAGATCTTGCAAAAACAATGAGAATACTGGTTTGCCACAAAACACAATAGATCTTCCCAAGGTATACTACTGGTCAACCCCAAATGTTCCCTTCTTTTCTTCCATTATACAAACCCCTCAAAAGATAGAAGTTCAACAATCAAAATGTTGCATGCTCTTCTTGACTTATACAAGATCCCAAGTATTCCCAGAGACAAAAGTTCAATCCCACAACACATATATATATATATATATATATATATATATATATATGCCAAAAAATTAAAAATAATAAATAAAAGAACAAAAAAACACACACACCGCAATTGCTAAAGATCTAAATAAAGAAAGATGTTATCCCACAGGCGTAGTGTGTAAGACCAGCTTCACCATCCGGTGCATATCATACTCCTGAAGTGCCAGAATAGAAACCTAACTACCAGAATACTGAAGAAGCCCATTGATTGAATGCATATTTGAAAACTTGACCAGACTATTAATCAAATTCCTAAAACAGAATTAACCAAAAGATTCCAGATCAAACTTGGCTCTGAGCCTAGGACAGGGAAAAAACATACACACAAGCACAAATTTTTTTAAGGCTGCAAGGTTTTCAGAAGTTCTTGCATCTAATCACTTCTTAAAGTTATTTGCATTCCCTTTGTCCCAAGACCGTATGGAAGTTATTGAACACTCAAGCAATCGTAAGAGGACAGGAACTCTGGACCCTCTCAGGAGTTTCTAATTGAGAACGGAATTAGCATAATAAGAAGGCCAACCAAAATAAAAGCTTTCTTGCATGAATAAGATTACCGTATGCATACCCTACACAAATCACAATTTTGAAATGAGTTTATTCATCGCCAAAATGCTTCATATCCCTCGCTCGAGCTTAGGATTTACCTCCGATACATCTCTAACTCTATTTAATTATATTTTCAATGCCTGTACAATTTTCTTTTTCCACACATTTCTCTTTTTGAATTAATTTGGTGGAAGCAATTATTTTCTCTTTTTCAATTAATGTGATGAATGCTATATTTCAGTATTCCATCCCCTCATCTATCATTTGGAGTCTCCTTCCATGATAAAACAAGAAGCATAATACTAAATAGCCTAAGTAGCTCATTTAGGATACATATGTCATTTAACTTGTAAATCATGTGGAGATTAGAGTGACCTCCTTGGTATTTACCTTAATTGTAGAAACCTCCCTTCTAAATTCAGATATTGACCTCACCTCCCTAAAAGCCCATCCCATTTATATAAACTACCAGCAGATGCATTCCCTAAGAACTGATGGAAACTTATTCTAAGGGATAAAATGGCCAAAAAATATTCTAGAACCTTCTTCCTTACAGTTTGCACAGAAGAAAACAAGTAAAAAACTGAATAACAGAACAGAACAGCAAGCTAGCATATTATTATTGTTACTGAAAAATTATCAATCTTCTCTTGGAATTTTGGAATCAGCTGTACACAAAATGACTCTTCTAAACCCAAAAACAAATGTAGAAAGATAAAGAGAATAAATTACGGGCAAGTATTCTTTTGTACAACTAGCAATATAAGAACCAACAAACACATGCTTAAAATGAGTAAAATATTCTGCATTTTGGAATCAGCTGTACACAAAATGACTCTTCTAAACCCAAAAACAAATGTAGAAAGATAAAGAGAATAAAATACGGGCAAGTATTCTTTTGTACAACTAGCAATATAAGAACCAACAAACACGTGCTTAAAATGAGCAAAATATTCTGCATTATAATCCAAAATGTTAATATCAAGGTGCAGGTCTTAGGAATTTATTTAGCAGACACTAGACTAGATTAAACGGTAACAAATAACTCACAGACACATCTTGAAATTCATCAAAATTAGTTGCAACTGTCTCCCACTGGTAAGATGAATTAGGAATGGGCGGTATGTTTCTCCCCTTTCCTTTCTTCACCTCAACTTTTCTAATCTCTCGATATAGTCGATGACCAACCATAGCATCATCTTCATACCTATATAAGAAAAGTGCAGCTAATAAGACTCTGATACAAGGAAATGAACAAAAGGTACAACCAAAAAAAAAAAAACCAAGTATCACTCCTTAAAACTGAGAGAAAGTTTGTGGTACTCTGTTATGCACATGTAACCAGGAAATGCAAAGATAAGATGCATTACCAATAAGAGATTCCATGAGAATCACCACCAACTCTTTCTTTGCGAAATGCTGAAATATGGACACCATGCTTTACAGAGTTGTCTATATGGTTTCGGATGTCTTCTTGCTGAAAATAAAACAACAATTACTTACAATTATCCATAACAGAAAACATTAAACTTGAACAAAAAGATATGCAGATGACAAAGTGTTAACGTGCTTCTTGCATCTCAGCACTGTTCCTTAGGTTTTGAGGGAGCAATCAGCCTCCATGACATCCGAACACCAAAATTCTTATGCAAACTTACCGTTCATAACTGTTCTATCTTCTTTTCTAAAAGACCATAAGAATATAAGTCTTACTGTCTGATGGGTGTGGTTGAAATTGTCAGCCAATTAGCTATAGAAACACAAGATGTTGACCAAAAAATAGCACTTGAACATTCTCCCTCAAGGGAGCAGTAATAGGGATGACTGAATTTTTATGCATATGTACATCAATTACAAAGGGGAAAAAAAAGCCTGCTGTAAATTTTTCAAAGCCAGTACCTCAGGAACAGAAGCTATAGAAATAAGAAATAGAATGTCAACCATCATAAATGTTACCTCAACACGAATATCACATAGTGCTTTCAATATTACTACACGAACCGCAGGATCTAGAGCATTATATGCTTCAACTTCAGCCCTGAAACCAGTGAAGATTACATCTAAACACATGCAAATTCGTGCTTCTTCCACAAAAAAAAAAGGCAGAAACTCCTTCTAACCAAAGATTTTTACAGATGTATAGTTTCTTACCCATGAGATGCAACAATAGGTAGCTCTCCTTCTGCAACCTGAGATGAAATAATGCACTCCAAGATGTCAGAAAAAGGGAGGAATTAACAACTTCAGTATTTGAGTCAGCTCAAGCAACTAAAACCAGATTACCCAAAGCCACCAATCACGTAATTTTCTGCACAATACTGTAACCCATGTATTGTGTCCAAGGGCCATTCGAGTGATAGGAGGGATTGCCTGAGGAAATAAATTAAGAAAGTATAATATATGAGTTAATGCCATTATTTCACCAAGATTATCAAAGCATTTCATGTTAACAAGTAAAACTTTGTTGTGATCACATATACTTTTGACTTTGAAAAGTACTTTATCCACGCCCATGAATACTTATTGGCAATATCTTTTTGCTCTATGTTGTTTAGTTATTTTCCCATAAATCATTTCATGGATTCTTCTATATTCAATGCAGGCCGGTTAGGACAGTCAACTTGCCAACTTCAAACTCTGGTAGCCTCCTCCAGCCTCTTCCTACCATTTTGATGTCTCAATAGGATATTTGTCCCTTTTTTTTTTTGTGGATGTCTGGTAAAGTCTTTGGACTGAAATTACATTACTCAAATGGGGGTATCCAATCGGTGGAAAAACATCTGTCCACGAAAGCATCAATCATTGAGACTCTACTGAGAATGGACATCAATATCAATAGAACAAACTAATCAATTAATTAATGGTTGAGGTGATTATCTTGTCCTAAATATATAAATAAATGAATAAGAAGACATAGAGATTCTTGGACGGTTGCTCTTTCCAAGGATAAATTCGAGTTTGGCTACCATGACTCACGAGGACATGAAACCCTGTTTCATGGGTACCACGTGGTATTGTTTTGCTAGGTCTGAGATGCAACGTTCATTACGTCTAACACACCAGAGAACATCTTTACCTCTTTGGTCGGTAACTTGCTAGTGCTATCCCAAAAAAAAAAAAAAAAAAAAAAAATCTTTTTCCTATATTTGATGCCGACATTGGTTTCCGAGACGTGTTATATTTGTTGTCTACCTTCTTTCAGCAAGTAAAATGTAAACATTATTTTGATTTAATTTGACACACGCAAGTGTGCAAGGTATATTATTGTCATCAAATCTTCTCATTCTGGCCGTAAAGCCTCGTCATTTTTACCGTTAATTGGAAAACCTTATCCATGAAAATGAGATACGAGTGCCAATTCATGTAAGCTAAGTGGTTTTTTTTTTTTTTTTTTTCCTGACGGAGAGGATATCCGGATCAATTCTTACGGGGTCCGACTAATCCCACTCCGACCTGGAGAGGAGGCCCACTCCACTCGAGCACGGTAGCAAGGGGGCTCGAACCCTAGTTGCCCAGGTAAGTCCACCATACCCTAAAGAGGGGGAGCGGACCGCTCGAGCTAACCGTTGGGAGCAGCTAAGTGGTTTCATGCCGATCGAATTTGCGGTTTTATGGCAACTTTAAGAAGGCATATTTCTCGAGCATGGGACTGCTTCCATGAGGTCTTTTTTTTGTTAATCTTTTTGTCTAAATTTGGCCCTTGTTTGTTAACCTTTTTATCTAAGTTTCAATAGTTTGCTTTAGATATTCACAATATTGTAGATTCATTTGTGAACTTTCATCAACACATGTTTAAAGTACCCCTTCCCTTCATGTAGATGTATCCGGAAATTGATGCCTGGAGGCAAGCTTTCAAAGAGGTTTGATCATTTCTGATGGAATGGTTGACTATAAATGAACGAATGGTTGGCGGACTTTCGTATGAAAATCAACAGTACAATGGTGGATATTCCGAATATGAATTGGAAGAATTTAGTGAATTAGACTAGGACCCTTTTCCAAAAGTTGTTCTTCTGGCCTATTTTTGGAAGCATGAAATGGGGACCAAGGATAAATAAAGGAAATTAGTCACTTGACTCTTTACGATTTTCCTCCAACCTTTTCTGTCCACCTCTCCCAACCACACAAACACCCCACACCTCCCCCCCCACACCCCCCCAAATAAAAAAAAAAAGAGAGATAGAGAAAGAAGAATATTGTTTGAATTGCAAAACTTGAAGTTTATCGTGTAAAATTAGAGAAGGTCCCCTCATCTTTCAATTTTCTTTCATGCCATGCCAAATTGTAGGGAAGGCACAACACAATGGCTTCATGCTCCGTACACTGACACACTATCATTATTAGATTTATGACATGTATACAAAAATTGAATTTTAAATTCAAGATCTAAATAATTGTCATTCATTCAACGCTGATAGTGTATATATTATTAGTATAGGAAATATTAATCTTTTTTTTTTCATATTTTGCCTAAACTATGTTGGCGTGTGTCTCAAAGTCCACGCTGTGTCTCAGCTAGCGTTGTATTGGAGGAGCAGAAAAAAATATTTCTTCATGATGGGATTTAAATCTTAGGCATTATGCTATTAAAGCTCTTACTTTTGGTTCAAAATTACCACGTGAACAAATACTCGTGCTACATGTTTGATGGGAGATTGAGAAAAAAGAGTGACAGTAAAATATTGAATAAACTAGTTTCTTTATTTGCATGGGAACTTTTTTGTGTTCTATAATTTTTATTTTTTTACACAAAAATTAATATAAAAAGAACTCAAAATGCTATTTCACAAAATTTAATGTACTAATGGTAAGACAAACATTAAAGTTAAACATATTAAAAATGGTTAATTTATAACAACTTAACAATTAATACTATGTATGAACAGTGCTGGGCACTAACAGGAAGCAAGAAACAAGAAGAAAAGAAAAGTTTTGGAGGGATACTTTTAATTTCTGTTGTTTGGGAGAAACCGTGGGAAAGAAAATAAAAGAATTGGACAGATTTCTTTCCCTCCCAATGCCAAAATGTTTTCTGCCCTAATTTATGGCCAGATTTGGATGGAAATTTGAACAAAGCTTTGTATAATTTTTTCAAAATACCAACTTTGTCCTTTATAAAATTTTTTTGAATGACTTCTAAACTTTTTTTTTGTAAAGGGGAATGTTTTAAAATCAAGACCTCCTACTTATAATCTCTCTCGTCTTATCACCTATGACCCAACCCAACCCTTCCCAAAAAAAAGACAAAATTAAAATCATAAACTCCCAAAATCACAAAATCATCCCCAAAATCGTCTAATTTCTTCTACAAATTTTCAAACAACATTAAAACTTTGCGCTTCTTTTCTCCCATAATTTAAGATTTATCTTGTTTTCTTTTCTATCCTCAACTCCCAAACTAGCCATAAAAGAACGAACATTATAAATACTCTCATATATGATACATGCAAGGGTAAAGGACTTTTGATTCACTCTCTCTCCACACTTACATTGAGCTTGCTTTCTCTCTCTAAAATCTCTAACTTTTCTGTGGAACATCATCCTACATAGATAAGTGCAGTGCCAAAAAGTGCTTGTGACATCCCACATTGGCGCACGCTTGAACTTTTTACAACCATATTAGATGGAGTCCGTAAGGCCGGGCAGTCTCAATAGTTTCTGACACAGTTATATAATTCCACAAATTTCGTTAAAATATCATACAAACTTTTTGGTCAAAAGTTAAAATATCATACAATTGACTTAATATAATATACACTGATTTTAGTTTTATTAAACAGGTCATATTCGACCAATAGTATGGCACTCTAATCAGGAAAGTAGTTTGTCTATACATTATTGTTCTATTTGATTCCAGCATCTTCCACCTCATTAGATACCAACCTGATTTGATGTTTAGTTTTTTATTGCGCATAGCTGTATTATTTATTGGATCATATATATAATCTTTACTCAGTAACTAGAACAGTATTATTATGATTGATAATATATACACTGATAGCGTAAACATTATCACTATTGAATGTATGACAATTAATTTAAATTTAAAGTTGAAATCTAAATTTTACAAATGTTTCGTACCTTTAGTGGTAACAATCTATATGCTGTCAGTATATGTAAGATTAACTTTTATTATTACAGGGGTTTATGCACCAAATAAGGTGAGGTCCAATGTGATAAATTTCTTGTTCAAAAGTATTGTAATTCAGAGGTTGGTGACAATTTTAAAGCATTAATAATTTATCCACTTTGCATTTTTTTTAATGTGCTTATTTTGTCACCTAATGGAAAAAACTTATTATAATTACTTGTTTTAGAAAGAGGCTTCGATACAGAACATATACTTGTTGGCCATGAACAAGGAACATCATGTCACTGGTAATTAACCTTAATATTGTGCTGTCAATGTTGTCACTCGACAAAATTTCTCCTCTTTGGTGCTGTGAAGTATCAATTATTTTGGAACGATTAATTTTACTGCTCGTGATTTTTGAGAAATCAAGAAGGAAAATGGCCTCACTAGGAGATGCACATCATCTGCTGCAGTTCTTTATTTTCTGGCTAAATTAGTAGAATCCTAAAGGAACCAAGCCAAGGATATATGCAGAAAATTAAGACAACGAGATGCACTCAAAGCTTTGAGTGGACATAACTAAGAAAAGTTAATTCTGCTCTTAATTTCTTCTTTGAAACAGTAAATCTTCACTAAACTTATGCAATTCTTATTCAACTGACTAAACTTACGTACAACTGACTGAAGCCTTAGTCCTGGTTCCCATAGCCCGTGAGGCATTCCATGCTTGAAGAAAAAATATTATGGCATTTTCATCAGACTGCAGGAATTTGTTCATGTTGATTATTATGGTTCATTTCTAGGGTCATCACACCAGGATTGCTGTCTGATCCTTTGTACTTGTACCACTTTGCACAAATAAGAAAATAGACAAAGTTAAACATTTCTAGAGCTGCAATCGAGTAATAGAAGTAATCCAATCTCCCCTTGTTAAGATCATCTCCCAACCATTCTGTTGTCCTGTGAATCACTGATGAAAAGAAGCTACTCAAATAGCTGGACCCTGCGAAGCCCACAAACAAGAATGCTAAAGCAAAGCTCCTCATATTTTCAGGGAATTGCTTGTAGAAAAGTTCATTTTGACCAATCAGGGCGAATGCTTCAGAAAGTCCTGATAGTGCAACTTGAGGAATTAACCACATTGCTGACATTGAAGAAATTGCACCTTTGCCAGGAACTGATCCCAGTGTTGGTTCTGTGAGAGCTATGATCCTCCTTCTGTCCTCAATGAAGCCTGAAATGAGCAAGGCAAAAACAGATATTATCAGGCCTATTCCGACTTTCCGAGGAGCGTCAATCCATCTTCTTTCCCTGTTAGTCTTCTGAGCCATGGAACTAAAATCCTGTCATATATGGGTAGCCAAATTGTAATGGTCAACATAGCAAAGATGATGTATGAAGCAGCTGGGATGTGGAAATTGCTCTTTCCTAGGCGTCTATC